CACATCAAACCTATAACCAATCAATTCCTTGCAAAGCAATACAAGTTTAAAAGGTATTTTCTTATTTGTTTTTTCAATGAAAGAACTGTTTGTTCTTTCAGAGAATCTTTTGACGTATCACTATAACTCTTTAAAGTGATTGTTGTTCATTTTTATTACTGCAAATATTTGTGTTCAATATTTTCTATTTTCTGAAGTAAATAATATTTTTTTAACTATTTTCAACTAAAATTATTCAGTTTCATTTTTAATATTTACATTAATGCAATTTTTACCAGTATAAATTGTGAATTTCAATATATAATTCAATGTACAATTAATACTTCAGCTGAGGTAAGAATTTGAATTAATGATTTAAACTCATTTAAATAATTATAAATCATTAGATTACAAAATCTTAAATCAGTGTACGTATAGTAACCAGAGTGGGTCGGTAGAATGCTCGCTAACCATGCATGTGGTCAGGGGTTCGGTCTCCGGCCGACGCACTCCTGTACCTCACTAAGCCAGTACTAAGACTGGTAAATACTGAAGGTTGGACATGAGACTAGCAACCCCATCCCGTAAAAATAAATAAACACCACTGCTACCGAAACTTCAAGCCTCTAGCTTGAAACTCTATGTTCCACTGGGAACGTGAGAGAATAATAAGAAAGAAAAGAGTAACCAGATGAGTTTCAGTACTGAATGACAATGAACACACTAGACCATTCACAAATGGACTGATTTCCTCAATGAAGTAGACTGATGACTGTAACTTACTTACTGTATCCACTGGCCAAATGACAGTATTTATCATTATCGTTCTAAGGGTAATGGGATCACCTCTGTCTATAAGGAACTGGCTAAACAAGGTTCTCTATTCGAAATTCATGTAGTTTGTGATAATATATTAGATTTTATGATAAGAACGGGAGGTAACTAAAGATGCCTCTTAAGGATTCCACCATTCCTCAGTCTTACAGAACTTTCTGACAGATGTACTGTTAAAGGTAATTTTTCTTTTATCCCCCCCCAACTCTCTATTGTGCATGAAGTGTCAAGCTCTTGTCAAGAGTTAATGGAAAATTCTGAAAACATTTTATGTAGACCTTTCAAATGCAAAGTGATGCTTGACAGTGAGTTTGTAGTGGCTCCTGTTTTGTGGATGGCGACAGAAATGTTCATATACAGTTATAACTTGATTCGTTAACTATATTTTAGTCGATATTATTATTAATCAAATTACCAGGAATGCTTTTAAGTAATCTGCTAAGTTTTGTGAAGTAAAAGGAGATAGGTAGTCTATCAATGATTAACAGAGTTTGTGTTTTATCCTTATAATGGCTAATTATTTTTCTCATCTAAAAGTGATATAATCATTGTAGTAATTCAGCAAATGCTATTCCGAAGAAATTCAAGTTCTTTGAGATATTTGTAGGGGACTTTCTAGTGAGCTCGGTAACAGAACAGGTATTTGAATAACAATACAAGTTAATGATATGATAGTGTAACAGTATATTATAAAAAATACAGTAATGAGTCATATAAATTAATCGGTTACTTGGTTATACGGTTAAAGTCCACTGCTACAAATTATTAATATAATCCACAAGTGTTCACTACTGTAGTCGTGTTTACTGGTATAAGCTGTGCATCGGTTATAGGATAGTTTTCGACTGAAAATAAGAGGTTCCTGCAATAAGTCCAAAGAATACAACACGGTTAGTAATGCAACAAGTAGACATGATAGACTACTAAGAAGACGAAATGGCCAGCAGCGCACTGTATTCCAGATTGTACTCCACAGTTATTTATATTCCAACATGAATCGTTTTAAAACAAAACTGGTGAACAATGTTCCTAATTTCAACATCTAACAAAAGAAAGTGCAATCGTATTGTTACATACTCCATATATTTACATCAGCTCTGTTTGAAAATGATGATCTTCAGATGTATACACTGTTGCTCATTACTTTACTTATTTCATTATTAGTAATGAGTCATTCCGACTACCAAATAGATATTATTTTTTAAATAGACGGACGAAAATATTTCGAATATGATTCTGAGATATTTTCAAGAAATTGAATATTCCCATAATTTATTCAGAACAAAATATTTAGAGCGAACAATTGTTTTCAATGAATTCTTCTTCAGGCTCTACAATTATAAATCCATTAATTTAAGCATACTATAGCCAACCAGTAAAAGCAAATTAGAATCATATCAGAAAGTGTATTGTGGAACAAGTATAAGATGGAATGGAACAATAGTCAGATAGTTTTTTAATATGCATGGTCCATGAGAACATGGGACAAAATCAGATGAAGTAATTTCATTTAATGATAAGTGTGTGTATATATATAAATATAGTCAACAGAAAATACAGGTTTCGAGAGTGTGTGTAATCAGGGTGTGTGAGACAATATGAAAATAGACCAACGAATGGGGCGGACTAGACAGAAGTTCAAGGTTGAAAATAACGACAGTAAGAATGATTGTAAAATAATAACGATGATATGGTGTAAAATTACAAGCACTATTGGCGAATGATTGTCAAATAATAATAGTGAATATAATGAAGTAGAATGAACAGGATTTTGTAAATACGATAGCAAGTTAGAAAAGCACTACTTAAACCTAAGGTAATAAAATCATAAGTAAGGTCATGAAATCATAAAAGTCGAAAATGAACGTTTGTCAATGAAACAGAGGAATAGAAGAAGAAGAAAAGAAATGAAAATTGTGAAAGGAATTTATAGTGTTAATGGAGGATTTGTTGGCTTTATTGTAGGCCAAGGTAAACATAGTGGTTGAACATACTTCTTCTGTATGCAAAGAGATGGTCTTTTAGTATTAATTGCCACCACTGATATGTTTCTAATTTGTCTTTACTGGCTATTGTATGCTTAAATTAATGGATTTATTATTGCGGAGTCTGAAGAAAAAATATTGAAAACAATTGTTCGCTTTAACTATTTTGTTCTAAATATTTTCAAGACGTGGTAAATATCTCATTATTCATCTGTTCGACTGGTTTTCATTATGCCTAGTCCTAAATCATGATATTTCTGTTTCACATAACAAAATAGCAATATCGATGTGAAAAGTTTGTGCACTTATAACTAATGCAGTGTAGATGAGACTGTCATCAATAGAATGTGACGCTACTTGAATGGTAACCAGTGTTGTTATCGCCTAAATATCTTCACTTTCTGGATATCGATGAAAAGAAGGAGACACTGAAAATGAAAGAGAAATCCAAGCAAACGAATAAAAATAATATTACTAATAAGAAAAAGATAAATTTCGAAAATAAATTTGGTACGCTGGTTGATTCTGAGCTATAACACCGAGTGACCCTGACAGTGAACACATGTTTTATGCAAATATTGTGTCTTTCTACCTATAAATTTTAATTCGAAAACGATAACTACCATAATAATTCACATCTGATCTAAAAACCGTCTTTGATTTTGATATAACAGCCAATATTATTAGCTCACGTTATTCATATTCTAGTTAGTTTGCCTGTTGAGATTTAGATTCGTCTGCAGTTTTGAAAGATTTTACATCGTACTGGCTGACAACAGCAATTAAAAGTCAATCACGTCAACTAGTAATGTTTGTTGACCAGATTAAGGTTACCTAAACACAGGACAGCTTATTCTGTCGTTTACGTCTGAATTTATCAGATGCCTCTCTGGAATAACTCCCACGATAGAGGTGAAAACTATGGTGAATTTTAACCTAGAACTGTTTAATTTACAAATAATAAATTTTGAACTTCATTGGCGGAGATTTTAACACTTGTCCAAATCGAAAAGTCCATGAAAAATCCCCATTCAAACACTAACGAAGAGAAGACCAGAAGTTCAACGAAGAGTCTCTTTTCGGCGAATTCATTCTCTTAGCTGTACAACTGTAAATATATATGGGTTATAGTGTATGTATGTTTACATTAAGTTTGTGAAATAAAAATGCAATTGGTTATGGTTATTTTAACTAAACAGGTGAAAATGAGTAAGTTTTAGGTGGAGTTACGCAATACAAAAAGTATTCGGAGGAATTGGATGTCGATATAAGGGGGTAGTAACAAAAGTGATGAGTTGTCACAAACGATTTTTAAAGAAGAGTTACGTAATCACAGGAATAATTTGATGAGAGAGTTGTGCTCAGGGTCGACATGAAAACAAAATAAAATATGGAATATGTAAGAGTTTCGAGTAGTTGGAAAAACAAACAAAAAGGCAAAAGTTAGGTCAGATCAACAGAGTTGTTACCATGATAGTAGAAGTGGCTGAATAATTTTCTTTTGTATGCATAGTTCTGGTTCTTCTAACTCAATGGTTAGGGCTTCTACAATGTAAAGAAGACGGAAACGTATTGTCTTTGGCACGTCGTTCTTCACTTTTTAGATTACTTTGAAGGACAGACGTCTCGCCTGTTGAGATGGAATGACCAGTGATGACGAGATGTTGGATTGTTGCACTCCTTATATGGCCACTACTTCCTTTCTGCAGCCATGCTGGATAATGTTCTTTGACCCTTTTTGACAGGATGCACATCGAACGACTGATGCTTGACAAAATTAATGTACACATACAAACAAAATAACCCATATATATTATTTGCGATTGTACAGCTAAGAAAATGAATTTGCCGAAAATAGACTCTTCGCCGAACTACCGGTTTTCTCTCTATAAATCGAAAAGATTGTCTAGTCCTTTTGTCTTCGAAATGTCTAAATGGGAATTTTTGTTGTGTTTCTGCCCTGAGTGTTATCTTCAGTGTTACATCAAAATGAATGATTTTAGTGTCTTGTAGATAATTATTTTATTTATGTCCAAATAAATGTCAAAATTATGTTTAAAACTGACTTGTTTAATTTATATTTTCTTAAAATTCTATAGATAAACTACGATTTCATTCAGCATAAAGATGAATAAATATCCTATCCTCTTGTTGGCTTTAATTGGAACACTGAACTATAGTACAGCTTATAGTGTGACTGCAATGATTAAAATTCTAAATTACAAGTATACGGACAGAGTTAAAGCTGATAAATCATGGTGTGACAGTTCTCCAAAACATGACGCGTGTTCACCAGCCTTCGAATTCTGTCTAAGACCATTCCATTCTCAGTTAGTCTCTACACTATTAAATTGAAATAATATTTCTGTTAATTAAAATGTAACTTTTTAAAATCTTTTACGAGTGAAGGTAGTTTGTCTGATATTTTAATAAGTGATATACAACTGTCCCTGTTCCATCCCTAAACTGTACACCACTCCACTAATGTCGTAGGTTTGTCAGATTATTTGGATTAAAGATTGTTTCTTCAGGAGAGATTATCTAAAGATGTGAACAGTGTTGGGGATATTTAGTTGAACGTGCTTTTATCTATGCAACTAAAGGATTGATCTTCTTTACAAAAGATATAATGACTAGTAAATATACTTCAAACATTTTAAACTGAATCATTTCATAGCTGATAGGATAGAAAAGTTTTAAAATGTCATACTTTAAAAATGCTAAAAATCTGAATGATAAATCATTATTCCTGGGAAAAGGAAATTATATAGTCAACTGACGTAAAAAGGTATGATCTGAACACGTGGTAATAAATACCACGATTCCATTATGAGTAAATTTTGTTTTTATAAAGTCTCACAGTGTTATACAGTGATGTGTACTGATGACGTTTCGAGCACAATTTATTGCTCATAATCATATCAAGGTAATCACACGACTTCCTAAATTCATTTATATAGTTCCATTGTTTTTCACTTGACTTTCACTTGATTTGATTGGTAGTAATATTTTCCATATTTCGGGTATGAGTGATGAATCATTCCTATTACATGTATTGGGTGTAAATTCGATGAACAAGGATTCAGTAATCAACCTCTCTCTCTCCACCTACATAGATTACTTCTTAGAATCTTAACCCTCTCCAACCCTATTATAAGGTTGTGTGTTAATGCATGCATTGCAATTGCTGAGCTTTTTTCTAAATTACTTATCTTCTCGGGGTCAACCATTCTTACCTTAGCTAAATCCTTATGTTCTGACAATCTGACTACCCCTGACCTACTAGTTTGACCTATGTAGTCGACCTAACTCACAGTCATTGCAGGGTATTTTGTAAATTATATTATTTTGTCTAATTAAGTCCACTGGGTCCTTTAACCTACAGAGCTTGTCCCTGAGTGAGTTTGTAGGTTTAAATGCCACCCTAATTCTTGCTTTATTTAGAATCCTACGTAGGGTCTCAGATGTCCTCTCTTTAAACGGTATAACTGTAGATGACTTATATTCTCTCTTATTTATGTTATTATTACTAGTTTCACAATTATTTTTATTTTTATTTTGGCCTTGTTCATCGAATCTACACCCAACACATGCAATAGGAATGATTCATCACTCATACCCGAAATATGGAAAATATTACTACCAATCAAATCAAGTGAGAAATAACGGAACTATATAAATGAGGAAGTCGTGTGATTACCTTGATATGATTATGATCAATAAATTGTGCTCGAAACGTCATCAGTAAACATCACTGTATAACACTGTGAGACTTTATCAAAACAAAATTTGCCCATAATGGAATTACCCTCTACCACAATGCACAAGTTTTATTCTTACATCAAAAATACCATGATTGATTACACCAGTGGATCTGGCTTAGATATCTGTTAAGTATGAACTCCTGAGAAAAAAGTATAGATATCAAAATGCAATAAAGATTAGAGAGACGTGAAAGTATTCCTGTAGCCCAGTCGTTTTTATTAGAAAATGTGTAATTATATCATGAAACATGAAATTTACATATCCGAAACTAAGTTCACTCTTAATAGTTTAGAAAAATTTGGACATTGGTTGCATGATATTCGTTATTATAAAAGTTTTTGTATCTCCCAGTGAATGAGAAATTAAAATGACATTGTTATTATTGACGTTTTGCTACATAATGCTAACAGCTTTATTAAAGCAATATTAAACCAAAATTTAAAAATCTCAGCTTATAAAAAGTAACTTTATAAGATTCTTAAGGTATAAGGTAATTTTTAAGTTAGGCAGTGAGTGAATTGATAAAGATAACTAACTATCTGCTCACCGATGACATTGGTTAGTGGTCGCGATAAAATCACGAAGTAGTAGAAGTTTGAACTCATGAACCTTGTGAGTCAGGTTCCATTGGCTGGACGGTCTACGAGCTTGCCTTGGGTTCGAACCCTAGTGGTGGGTGCGTACTGCCGATGAGTTCCAAACTAGGCTGACGAAACATCTATCTACAGATTGTTGGATTTAATTTATAAAAACAGTATGTGTTTACATAATGAAATTGCTTACTATCTTCATGTTAATTCTACCGTCTCATTCTGGGGGCGGGGTGGTACTGGAACCAAGCCATATTCTGTATTGATCCGTCATTCCCATGCAAACAGTTTAGTTTAATAATAATAATAATGCTATGATAAAGCTATTAGCATGAAATAGCCAAACGTCAACAAAACAATATCGTTCTGCTTTTTTCATTCATTGGGAAATATAAAAACGTTTATAATAATCGACAAGAAGTGTATTAATTCAGTCAAAATTAATATATTTATACCTTAATAATCTTTATCTCAAAGTTTAAAAATGCCTCCACAAAATTATATACCTTTTTCAGATTCTTTTAAAGACTTCTTAAAGAGAAATGTATTAAATAAACTGTAAGTAAGAAAACTAATCATCTAAAACTGAAAAGAAGGTAAACCTGTATTGAGTCTTTCAAAGTACTGTTTACATTAGAAACTCGAGTGATAGATAGCATTCTTCCAACTGTAATGTAAGCATATTGTGTTTTAACTAGGCACTTTACTAACAAGTAAACTGTTTTTATTTTTATATACATATATTAGGCAATGTGATACAACTTATAAGTTTGGTTCACCTGATCCACAATACCAGCATAAAGATAATATAACTTTCAGTGCACAACTCTCATCAAAGGTGACTAATCCACTCGAATTTACCTTAAAGCAGTGGCAAGTAAGTGCATGTTTATTTATTAAAATGCATTTAAAACAAACAATCGAAACTGCCCATTGTTGAATTAATTTATAGGATTACTTTAAAACACAGTCTACTTTACTTATAGTAATAAATTCATAATTATCAACTGAAAACAAACCAGATTAATTGGCTATAGGATTTCATCATTAGCTGACATCAGTTCGAGAACCATTGGAAAACCTGTAGGGAGTACTGGACAGCTGTTTCATCCTAGTTTGAGACGGTGGGTGCGTACTGATGAAGAGTCCCAAACCAGGATGAAACAACTGTCTAGTACTCCCTACAGGTTTTCCAATGGTTCTCTAACTGATGTCAGCTCATAATGAAATTCTCCAACCAATCAAACAAAATCCCTACAAAACCAAACATTACTTGAATAATGTGTACATCCACAAGTATAGTGACTAAAGACAAAACAATATAAATATCAGTCACTGAAAATACAATTACATTCCTGTTCACCTGTGAACGTGTAAAGTTAACATTGATTTTTTTTACCAATCTGATTTATGATTTATTCTTTCATTAATAATACACAAGCAACTAATGGTGATCAGTGCAACTGTAACAGATCAAAACTACAATCCATCAAATTTAATTGATACTGTAACTTACACAATGTCATCAGTTAATCCTGCAATATCTGAGCAAGTTGCAAACTGGGAATCGTTCACGCTTACTTCTGACAACAGTCCTATGTCGTGAGTTGAATTTCACAAACCTTTACATATTGAAAAGTTCTCTATTTTGTTTTATTTTTTACGTTCCTAGCGGAACACAGAGTTTCAAGTTAGAGGCTTGAAGTTTCGATAGCAGTGGTGTTTATTTTTACAGGATGGGGTTGCTAGCCTCATGCTCAACCTTTCCTCTTCACCAGCTTTATTTCTGACTTAGCAAGGTAAAGGAGTGCGTCGGCCAGGGATCGAACCCCGGACAATGTGCATGGTAGGCGAGCGTCCTAACCGCTGTGCCACCGACTCACGACAGTAGTGGTGTTTATTTATTTTTACGGGATGGGGTTGCTAGCCACATCTTCAACCTTCATTCTTTACCAGTGTTATTACTGGCTAAGCGAGATAAAGGAGTGCGTCGGCTGGGGAACGAACCCTTAACCACCTGCGTGGTTGGCAAGCATTCTACCGCTGTGCCACCGACGCACATTTTCTATACTGTTAGCAAATATAACAGGAATGGAAATAATGAAATAAACTATTAGCAAATGGTTTAGTGATATGAACGCTGAAGATGTTGTCTAGAAGGACAATGAGAACTTATTCAATTAAACAATACACCTGAGAGAACACAGCCATTATAAAAACATTCATCTGACATATATATCTCTCTCTCAAATAAACAAACTAAGCATCAATTTTTATTGTTTCGCTTTTCAGAGCCTTCAAGACTTAATCTTTTGTCCATGTGACTCCTACTGAGAATGTGATACTACATGCTACTTAAGTACATCCTTATCAGTAACATACATACTAATATAACCTAAAGATGATGAAATATTTTAGGATAAATGTTATCTCTTATCTAAAATGCCCACTCAAAAGATGTCTATCCGATGTCAACAATACATTAAATTTTTTTAGCACTTTACAAAACAGTCAATAAGGAATAAATAGTGATCCAGTTGTAGCAATAACGACACTTGGGGAATCTTTTAGCTTGAAATTCCCGAATTCCTAATGAGAATTTGTGGACGACGAGATTAACTGACTCACTTCTAGGGAGTGATATTCAGTAGTCAGGATATTCACTTTCATTCATACGGTATACGCACATATGCGCTTCTTGAGTAAATAGAAATAGGAAGCGGTGTGGTGAGAGCTGTCTCCTAGCCAATTGGTCGACAGTAATTGAGGTCAAGGTCAAGATGGACAGGCGGATACAGTTAACATATAGATGAACTGACACAGCCACAAGAGATGCAAGGTTAACTTTGTGTGAGAAACAACCAATTAACAGACTGTATTTTCTACTAACATTAACCTACAATAATGTACATCAAAATCTATAGATACGTGTTGATTTTCCTTAATAAACGTTCTGTTGCCTGGTCCTTGTCTTCTCTTGTTACAAGCACATATGCGCTTCTTGAGTAAATAGAAATAGGAAGTTTAATATTAAATTGCCGACAAATAATTTTTGGTTTTAAGTATTCTATTCTTTACATTGTGCAATGATGGTTCAGCGGTAGGACGCTCGTGGCTAATGCACTCCTAAACCTTGCTTAGCAAGTATTAAGGCCTCTAAAGAGGGGGGGGGTTGGGAGTGAGGCTAGCAACCCCACCCGGTGAAAATAAATCAGTTATCGAAACTTCAGAGCTCTAGGTCGAATCCCTATGTTCCACTCAAAACTGACAGGAGTTTTATATATGTATATATTCTTTATTTTAGCATCAGACAATGTAATATAGTAATGAGTGTATTTGCATAAGGCTTTTTGATGTAATTTTTACCTGTTATTTATCTTTTCTTTTTTAGTATTGATGGAGTATTCAAGGTATTCAATTCCCCATTGGCTCACTGAAAATCAATACATCTGTAAGTGCGTCTAATATGTTCGGTGTTGAGAAAATAAAAAAAATATGTTTAGATGAAATATGATACGCTTAGCTATTTAACCAGGTTACCTTCACATGTTTGTTCACATTCCCACTACAATCAATCTATCTGTTTATGAAATTATTAGTAATGAAGTTACTGAGTGTAATGAGGAAGCATTAAATGTTACTTAAGGCCCACAAAACACTAAATATCTGTGATAAACAAGACTTTTCAGGAGTCGTGCATATAAAATATACTCATTTGAATTGAGGAATAGAAGAATCATGAATAAGAAGGATGTTAGCTGACTCACAAAAATAAAACAAGCTTGTAGATAAGAGAAATCAATATTGATTTTATTTCGTAGACAGTGATCATCAGTGTAATCCAATATGTTCATTTCGTCCTGTCTGGGACTCGTTAGCTGGAAATACCTGCAATCCTCAGTGAGTACACCATCCACCAAACAACGTCAGTGTTGATCTTCAGACAATATCGAAGCGTCCATGATAGCAGTCTATATATCAACAGAAGCCAACCAACAATTAACAGTGCACTATGATTGTGATTCACTTAGCATAATGGCCACATTGCAAACTTGACTGATAGAATTCAGTCTGCATCAAAGATAGGACTGGACACTTTACATCATTTCCTGACTAGTGTCCAATCAGAAGCCAAACATTTCGGTTCAATCAAACAACGGGAAAAACAAAACTGACTTAAACTAAATAAGTCAATATTATATAATTTCTGTAGCCACATCTGCTTTTAATATCACCTTTTAAATAATATTACACAATTGTTTTTAATTTTCTTACTACATTAAGGTGCAAGTAAACAGCATGTGGAAGAAATACCAATATCTTAGAGGAATTCGATTACTTATTTTCTATATCACCCTGTCTATTACGAAGTCATTTATAAATATTTAATGAAAATAAAATGTTGTGCAATCGACTACGCAGCTTTCTTGTTCGTTTTTCATAAACCACTTCACTACCATTTTATTTTATTAGGTAATGCTTTAAGAAATGCTCAAGGGTGTTAAAAGTTTTAGGAACATAGAGAAGAGTATAAAGTTACTGGAATAGAAAGTACTATTTCTGATAAGGTTTGAAACGTTAAATGATATAATTATCAGTAAGTTACAGCCTTAATTGATAGAGACCAGTTGACAGTGTTGCCCTTGCTCATTCTGCTTGCTTATGACTACTAGTGGAATCCAGGAAGCTCATTTCATCCTATTAGAGACTCATCACCTGGATGTACCTGCGTTCCTAGTGAGGCTCTAACAATCCACCTACAGTTTCAAACTTCAAATTATCATCCACTAGGTCACGACAGCCATGAAATTCACTTGTCGCAGATACATCCATGTGTTGAGTCCCAAAGAGAACAAAAAGCAAATATCAGATTCCATGACTAGTCAACATCAGTCAAAATAAGTTCATTTTAATCCTTAGACATTGTTCGGACATCCACACTAAGAGATAGCAGAAATCCAGCAATGCGACACAACATAATCTATCAAGGGAAGATACAGCTGAACCTATAAATAAATATGTGGTTATACTGGAAAATGCTGTCTTTAAAGTGAAACTATCCATTTCTAATTTACTTTCATAGTGATACTAATTATTACTTATGAATAGCATAGTTCTTTGAGTATTACTTGTTGAGGATTGTGTCGGTAAATTCTGTTTTCTCTACACTTCATACATCTATTTACATATCCAGCAGTGATGATGTAGTATGCATACAGTGCTATTCATGATAAATTCACACAGGTATAAAAACAAAGGCTGACTTTACAGATTAAGACTTGGATGCAGACATCCAATTAATGTTAAAATAAATGGTTCAAGAACATCACGAATTTAGGCAGACGTCATTCATCCATGATATATTTATTAAAGCTGAGAACCATGGTGATATGTAATTCAATATATCTTCGGTTAAATGATAGTTTACATAGTGAAATGATGTTGCTCACTGGATGATTTTTGAATACATATTATTATCCATGATCTTATTAAACATAATTCCGCAACGTTGAGACTTTCTCTATAGTTCTGCTTCTTATTTATCATTGGTCTCAGACGTAGTAGAACTTTCCACCTATGACGAATAGGTGGCGAGTAGTTTTCGCCTCATTTCTTCTCAACGGATTCGATTTAAAAAGCGTCTGCTTTCCATCTTTGTCTACCATGCTCCATTAGATTTTAAAACACCATTCAATTGTGCGGTTGTGTTTGACTGCATGTAGACCTATAGTTGAGTTTTGCCTAGATTTCTCATTTTATTAATGTCTAGTAGTCTAGATTTCGTTAGCTTTTTAAACTCAGCCCACTTTTTCGGTCTATCTGTTTAACCAACGTTCAATGTACAATGTTAGATGAACTGAATTATTTCGTTTAATGAACGGTTTGTTTCCAAAAGAATTTGTGTTTAAATCCCACATCAGTCTTCTTATGAATTCTATAAAAATATTTCCGAAAATTCTATGTCTATGCAACGTAGTATCTTAGGTTTTGTGAATTCCAGTACACTTCAACCATGAACATGGTCCGGGGTTCGATCCCCGGCCGACGCACACCCGATATCAATGGTCCGCCTGCTAAATTTGGGCTACCGATATCACATGCTGAAAATTCCATACTTGTATCAGAAATACTGTGTGGAATCAAGCTATAATCAAATTTAAAATTTAATTTAAATTTAATAAAGATATTAGCTCTATATTGTAGGGAATAGTATAATGCTATAGAAACGTGTAATAATGCTGAAAAAAAATTAAAAACTGGAAACCAAAGTGAAGAAGAGGCATCAAAAGACAATTTGAGCTTGGCACACCTCCATACTTTCAATGTAACCAAGTAAAGCAAAGGACAAAGTGATGCATATCTGTTTCTACTCGATAGTTACGATGTAGGAAGTAGTAGCTGAAAGCAAGAAAGGCGATGAAGAATACAGGATTGAGATGTGGCTGTATATTCAGCTATTTATATTACTGGAGCTCTTTATTCAGGCTGACCTATTTGATAATTAATTTACACGTATTCTCGGAAAGTGAAACAATCAGCTTAGTTTCTAGAATGATGTAGACAGATGGTTAGGTATAATGTCTTTTTATCTATGATGTACAATGAATGTTTTCCTATACTGATGTTAGTGTAGGACTTACAAATGAAAACAAATCGTGTATCCTGAATCAAAAATGCTTAAAAGATGTACATCATTTAGAAAGGTTCTGAAGTAGTTTTTTGGTATTGTAATTAATTTTTATTCCTAACCAGAAATTCCAATGAAACATTTTTTCTGCTGCATATTTAAGAGTCTTTAGCACCAAGAATTCGCTTTTTGTGAACTTGCATCTAAATCAAAATTGTCCAGTGGTTTCCTAGACGCTGCTGAATCGTCTTTAGTCAAACAGTCTCAAAGCAGTAGACATTTACTAGGAATTAGCACATAATGATATAAAATTAAAAACAAGCAAAATGATAATAAGTTATTCAATAGTTACACTAACGAACACGCATTTGTAAGGTCGGTTCCAAATATGGCAGTCCCCTCAGTAGCCTTTTGTTATATTGCGGGGTGTACAAAGTTATATCTATATTAAATGATGAGAAAAATCATGAAATAGATTTTTCAGTATGAAGCACACAGCTGCGAAGTAAAACACCACAAAATAAAACACTACCACAGAGAATGAAAGTGATCTGAAATGAAATACAGTCAATTTGTTGAATGGAATAGTTTAGGGAAGTAAACACCCGATTTGTTTGAAACAAATACAAATGGATAGTCTGCAAATAGAATAGATCCTATACATACCTATAAAAAACCAACCAAAAACCGATTGATCAACAAATATGTAGGAGAAAATGGAGATGGATACGTTGAGGAGGCTGCCGAATGACAACGCGCATTAACCAGGCCATAGCTCCAGTGGAATCCGAATGGGAAGCGACGAGTGGGTTGTCTGTGCGAGGTTAATATGCAGGAGATCATGCGAGGAGGAGATGAGAGATTATGGGTAATCGTGAACCCAGATGAAGAGGACAGTAGAAAATAGGACAAAGTGGAGATGTGTTGTTGAAGCCCTTTGTTCGACTCCGAACCTATGGGAATAGTAATAATATACATACCTATACGATTTATAAACATGTTAATCATTTATAGCCAGTTCGAAGTGATGTAAGTAAAATGCAATCTAAATGACAAATATGCTGTTTTTAGCAGGAAACAAGGATTCAATGCCTCTCATTAGACTAATAATGTATCCTTTTAAGATGAGAAATTTGTGAGACAGTATTTTATTTTCACAAGAAATATTCAAAAAGGAAAAACATGCACCATTATGGATAAGATCCTTCGAAGTCCTAAATAAGATAGGATTAAACCTCTCAAAGGGAGTAAGATCAAATCATCTAGGCATAGCTGAAACAGGCTTTACGGAACAAAGCATAAAAGGAAAAATCGGTAAGTTTTACAGTATATCTCCATTATGGATAAGACTTTATCTTGATAAATCACACAGTGTTACACAATAATATTAACTGATGACGTTTCGAGCACAAATTATTGCTCATAATCATATCAAGTTAATCACACAACTTTTTCCTTCATTTATATATATATATATACATAGTCAATTCCATACATATATATAAATGAAGGAAAAAGTTGTGCGAGAAACTTGATATGATTATGAGCAATAATTTGTGCTCGAAACGTCATCATTTAATATTACTGTGTAACACTGTGTGATTTATCAAATAAAATCTTATCCATAATGGAGTTACACTCTACCACAGTGCTCAAGTTTTATACTTATATCAGGAAAAACAAGCATTTGAAGCCTGTGGAAAGGGCACCGAACATTTGCTAAAGTAGATAACATAAATTTCTCATTGAAATCAAAATTACAATGATAAGAATCATATGAATAAAGACAAAAAAATACCAGTGCTAATTATTAACGGAATGGTGATAAAACGAGAAGTAGGTGGTCTTTAATATCAACCAGAATACACATTTTCCAGATCAGCTGTTTACTTAAGGATTTGGACTATAAACTGGATATGATCTCAGTTTCTGGGTAACTGTTATTCTAAAGTTCATTCATAGGTTTAGGAAGATAATCGGCAATGAATGGTGACACAGAAACTGGCTTCATTAGATCAATAATCAAATTTTTTTGATCTTCAGAAGAATCATGGTGACGCGGATTTCATTGCTTCCTAACAATATCGTGTTAAATGTATGTCTTGCTACAATCTTCAATTTACTAAAACACAAGTGTTTCATCCAGATGGACAGCAGCGACTGAAGTCCCACGGAATCCATGTGTTTTTTAATTGTTACACATAACTAGTTGTCTGTAGGGACATTGTAGATGAAGTGAAGGATTAAACGTATTATTAGTATGTAACACATGACTGCGCTTACTGAACTTGTACTTTAATTTTCAACTGGTCAGCAGCCTACCTAGTTTGTGAGTACTGATAACGAAACAAAAATTGTAAGACTGAATTACTCAGAAGTATGCTTATACGAACCTCGCCTAGATTACTAGCTCACCAGTTTTCTAGCCGGTCCCAAGTCCGGATAAAGAGGGAGGGTTGGGGCGTGGTGCTAGCAACTCCACCCCCAAAACTTAACCACATTGCTACAGAAACTTCAACGCACAAATATATTAAAAATTCTATAAATATTAACAATGACCTTATTTTTCGCTGGGATCGGGGAAGTGAAATGACGCAGGTGATCCACAGCGGAGAACTCAGAGAGGCGTTTGGAGTAAACACAGGAGTCAGACAAGGGTGCTTATTATCACCAATGATATTTGCAATTGTGGTGGAC